GAAGAATTAATTTCATGTTTGGGTATAAGAAGAGCAAATTTTGGGAAATTATGAATTCATGAACATTTTGAACTTAATATTGAATTAAAGGAATTTTGGATGTAATTAGTTTGAATTTTGATCCTAATTTCACACATGCAAATATTTTTCTAAGAGTTTTATAACTTTAATTTCATGTTTTAGATAATCCTCCATGTATCATGAATTAAGAAAGTTATGGAATTAGTCTCATAGATTTTGTAAGAATAAGGTTTTAAGTAAGAAATTAAGTAGACTCATAGTTGTGGAAATTAATTTGGAAAATTAATTGTTTTGATTTGATTTTGTAGTATTTTCTTATAATACATGAGTTTTAAGGAAATTGAGCCGTTCAAGTTCATATTTTGAAGAGACAAAGGAAATGTTTTAAGAAAATCAAGTTTATGGAAATTTGAAATTATCCTAAAGTTTTGATTTTATAATTAGATTTTTAATCCATGCATGTAATGTAATTTCAAGAGTTTGGAAAGTCTAATTCATATTTTAATATTGTGGGTTTGATATAAAGAAAATGAGTTAAAACTAAATTTGGACAATTGGAGCATGATTTTGAATAAATGATTTTTAATTGAGAGTGTTTACTAAATCATACAATAATTATCTATATTTTTGTACCAAAAATACAAGTTTTGAGGCTTTGAATATCAAATTTGAACTTTAATTACAATTCTGGAAACTCCAGAATTTATGCTGTCCGCTCGAGCGAGGAAAGTCTCGCTCGAAAGTGAAAATCGAGCTCCTATAAGTTTTTCAAAATTTTACAGTCCGCTCGAGCGACCAAAGTGGCGCTCAAGCGAGGACCCTATTTTCAGCAATTTTTGACTAACTCATTTAAATGCATAATTGCATCCTCATGACATTCTAAGTGTTCTTAGGCACCAATTGGACTCGCATAGTCATGGAATAAACTAGAAACACATAAAGAGAGTTGAATTAAGATGAAATGAATATTGAATGGTACTTCCATTGTGTTTTTGTTATGTGATTTATATAGGTGGGCATCCGAGACCTTATATCGACTTAACCCACTGTGAGCAACAATGTTGTAAAGCTATGTTCAATTACAATTATTTTCTGAATGATTAACTGTACTGCTTTCTGAAATGATATTGTTTACCGAATGAATGTTTGTCCTATTTTACGAACTGTATTCGTGGCATCCATAGCAATTGACTGTTACTACTACTGTTACTATTACTGTTACTGTTACTGTTACTGTTACTGCTACTGTTACAGAGATCTCTGTCAGTTCCAATATTTGGAACAACTACTGTTTATTGTTTTGATGGCCATCAACTGACTGTTCGGTCTATTAAGATCTACTGTACTGTTCTGCTATTGGATGTACCACGTATGACTGCTATGATCTCTAAATGACTGATATGACATGAAATATGAGACACTGATTGAATAACTGATCTACAGAGACAATCGATTGTTTTAATTACTGAGAGGACATTCATTCTAACCCCTTTATACAGTTGTTATTCACTGGGCTTTAGCTCACAGTTTATTGTATATATGTAAGTGGTCAGGCACCGGAGTAAAGTTAGCGGCATCAACGTAATTTCGTTTTGTCAAGCCAAACTACTGTGCCTCACCACGAGGTTCCAAATCGTTATTGTCAAGGCCTGTTTTTGGTAGCCTAAATCCACCTCAAGTGAAAGTTTCCTAAGTTGTTTTGGCTCTGGGATCTTAATTCCCCAATATGTCTTTTATTTTGTACTTAGACGTGTTTTGGACTTCAGTTTTTACATATATATTGAATATGGACTTGGACTTATGTCTGTAATGGTATATATATATATAAGTTGTTTGTGCAATTAAGTCCGCACAACTCTTTGGACATCATATTTTAATATTTACAGGCTTTCGCGGCCCCTCCTATTGTATAATTGTTATTACTGTTAAGCAGGCCTTTGGTAATCATGGATTACTGGCCGGTTACGATGCTAAACCCTTAGGGACAGGTTTAGGTCGTGACATTGACCATATGGATCTTGAATGGAATTTGAGTTTTGAAGTCGTCTCTTTCCTCAGATCGTGGCGTGAAGAAGGATGATTGTGTTGTCGAAGCGACAGCAAAGGTGTTTTCGTTGTTGAGGTCGACGGCGATAGCGATATGGCGATGGGTGGCAATGATAGGAGTGCTGGTGGTAGAGAGAGAGAGAGAGGCAAACCTTGGATCTTAACGGGGACAAAGCAAATATTAGATCTTGGTGTTTGAGTTGGCAAGGAAGCAACCACGAACAGATGCCTTCGTTTACTACTCATCGTCTGTTGTCAATCGCTTTTTGCCGTCAAATCTTGGTCGTCGTTCACCGTTTACCAGAGATGGAGAGAGGGAGAGAGAGAGAGAGTGTGTGTGTGTGTGAGAGAGAGAGAGAGAGAGAGAGAGGTGATGAAAAGAGAGAAAAAGAAAGAGTCTTTGCAAGTGGTTAGTTTGTGAGAGAGAGAAAAGAAAAAAAAAAGACATGAAGGTGATAAGAAGGAGAGAGAAATGAAAAGTCTCTGCAAATGGTTAGTTTAAGAGAGAAAGAGAGATGAAGGTGATAAGAATGAGAGAGATAAAAATGAGTTTCATATGAGAGGCTAGAACGAAACAAATAAAGAGACGCGTGAATGTGGATCATGGTAGTTTGGTCCTTTCATAAAAGTATGTTCGAACGAATTCAGTGTGTTTGGTTTCAGTTTTTTGAAAACTGAGTTTTTTGTTTTTCATGTTTTTTAATTTTTAGTTAATATTTTTTAAATTTTTTAGATGAACCTTACTTAGATGTATCTAAATAGTAAAATATTTGTGAAAAAATATTTTTAAAAATTAATAAATATACAAAAATACGAAAAACGTGCTGAATTTTCGTGTGTTTTTTTTTCTATTTTTTGGTATTTAGTGTATTTTTAAATATTTTTTCCACAATTATTATACTTTTTAAGTGTATTTATGTTAGGTGTGTCTAAAAATTTTTATAAAAAATGGCTTAAAATATTAAAACAATTCATTAAAAATATTAAACTACAAAAAATAAGACAGTAGAATTTTCTGAAAACTGGAACCAAACAAGCATCCCTTACAAAAGTATATTTTTTTATTTGGGTAAATTATAAACACACCCCTTATTTACTTAAATTACAAATTATCCCTATGATTTTAAAAATTACATTATGCCCCTTAAGGTTTCTAATTTTATAACAAATAGGTCATTTTATTAATAAATCATCAAGTTAATTAATAATTTTTAATAATGTTAAAATTTTATTTCAATTAACAGTTCAGATAATTTTTTTATTGTTTTGGACAAACAGTTAAAAATTTCACTTTTTCAATTAATTTTGTTAAATAAAAAATTATGACAGGAAGGTATTTGTAATTTTTGGCAGCTGGGTGAACCCATTTCAGTCACTTATTTTTACCCTTACTCATTTGTGTTGTATAAAAAATGAAAAAACCAAATCATTAAAAGTGACAAAATGACCAACTGTAGTAAAAAAACTAAAAGTAGGAAACCACAATAGAGATGTAAATTAACAATCATAAAAATCTTAATTATTGTAATGCAAGCAACCAGAATAATAACAGAACACATGCTCATTGGAACAAACAAGTATGAAGTGAAGATACGACTCAATTTGTTCCAATGCCAGCACACTATAGTAATCATTGGTTCCAAATCATTAAGGACTTTAAAAAATTAATAACAATGCACAAGGAGGAAATGAATTCACATCACCTAAGTCAAATCATTTGAAAATAATAAAATCCACAATTTTCAGTAACATAAATTGATATATATTTGCACACAAACAAATATGAACACTGATATATATATATATATATATATAAATCATCACAAACAACCACTTAAATTTAAATTTATGACCGAACATCCTAAAAATAAAGGGTGAATTATACCAACGGTCTTTATAGTTTAAGATTTATGTCACTTTGATTCTTAACTTTTCAATTGTGACACATTTGATCCTGAATTTTGAATCTCATTCTAAATAAAGACAATGGAAGATACTATTGGATTTTTCAAGAGCAAATTCGTCAATTTGATAAAATATAAATTAATTTAACAAAAATAAATGTTAAAAAAATATTTTTGAATTTTTTAAAATTATTTCTACCTACTAAAGATAAAATTATATAAAATTGTTAAATCTTTTAGACATTTATTTTTTTTACCAAATTAATTTTTATTATATATTGGGATGATGATCATGTAAAATTAATTTTTAAAAATTAAACATGTAATTTTATTAATTTTTATTAATTTTACATAATTTTATTTTTTGTGGGTAAAAATTATTTTTAAAAATTTTAAAATATTTTTTTGATATTTATTTTTGTCAAATTAGTTTATATTTTATCAAATTGATAATTTTACCCTTGAAATTAAGTAATGGTAAGTTCAATTGTTCTTATTTAAAATAAGATTCAAAATATAAGATCAAATGTGTCACAATTAAAAAGTTAAGAATTAAAATGATACGAGTCCCAAATTATAGAGAATGTTAGTATAATTTACCGAAAAATAAATGGATAATATTACCAAATGACGTCGTAAATATATGATACGGTAGTGCTATGTAGCTCGAAAGGTGGAGCTCGAAATTGGCTCGAATCAGAAGCAGAGAATGAGAAGAGAATGAAGGAGGAGGAGAAAGGAGGGAGGAGGAGGAGGAGGAGGAGGAGGAGGAGGAGGAGGAGGAGGAGGAGGAGGAGGAGGAGGAGGAGGAGGAGGAGGAGGAGGAGGAGGAGGAGGAGGAGGAGGAGGAGGAGGAGGAGGAGCGAGCAGCGACGATCCTCGGCGGCGGCGACAGTGCTGGCTCTTCTCCTCTTTCTCTTCTCCTCTCTTCTTTCTCTCTTCTCTCCCTCTTTCTCCCCTGTCTCTTTCTCCTCTCTACTCTCCCTCTTTCGAGCCAACCAATTCGAGCTAAGGCTCGCTTCCGTATATGATAATTTGTAGTTACAGCCTACAGGTCGGTTGGCGGTGCAACCAGGCAAAGTATTTATTAGCGTAGACTTGCTGCACTTCACTTTTTCCTTCTCACCATACCCCTCTCTCTCTCTCTCTCTCTCACTCTCACTCTCACTCACAGACATTATTCTCTCTCTAGGATCCCCCAATTCCCAATCCACAGATTTCCAGAGAAATAGATACAGATACCTACGACGATCTGGATTAACCACCATGGATCTACCTCCAGAAGAGCTCCAATTCCTTTCCATTCCAGACATCTTGAGGGAATCAACCTCAATCCCTAAACAATCCCCCAAAACTTTCTACCTCCTAACCCTAACCCTAATTTTCCCTCTCTCCTTCGCAATCCTAGCTCACTCTCTCTTCACTCACCCTCTCCTCACCCAAATCGAATCCCCAACTGGTTCTCACTCCTCTCAATGGACCAAGCTCCTCATCTTTCAGTTCTTCTACCTCATCTTCCTCTTCGCTTTCTCTCTCCTCTCCACCGCCGCTGTAGTCTTCACCGTCGCCTCTCTCTACACCTCCAAACCCGTCTCCTTCTCCTCCACCATCGCCGCCATTCCCCGCGTTTTCCGGCGACTCTTCATCACCTACTTGTGGGTTTCTCTAATCATGATCATCTACTACATTGTGTTTGTGGGTTTTCTGGTTCTCCTTGTTATAGCTGTCGATACCCACAATCCAATTTTGCTTTTTTTCTCAGTGGTTGTGATTTCCATTCTGTTTCTTGTTGTTCATGTTTACATCACTGCTTTGTGGCATTTAGCTAGTGTGGTTTCGGTGCTTGAACCGGTTTTCGGGTTCGCGGCGATGAAGAAGAGCTATGAGTTGTTGAAGGGGAGGACCCGAATGGTAGTTGTGCTTGTTTTCGGGTACCTGGCTATTTGCGGGGTGATTAATGGGGTTTTTGGAGCTGTGGTGGTTCATGGAGAGGGTTATGGAATTTTTGTGAGGATTATGGTTGGTGGGTTTTTGGTTGGGGTTATGGTGATTGTGAATTTGGTGGGTTTGATGGTGCAGAGTGTGTTTTACTATGTTTGCAAGAGTTATCACCACCAGGGGATTGACAAGAGTGCTCTGTATGATCATCTTGGAGGTTATCTTGGAGAGTATGTGCCCCTCAAAAGCAACATTCAAATGGAGAACTTGGATGTTTGAGGCCATGGTGAGATGAGAATGTTGCAAAGAGGAAAACTTTGAAATGGCCGGGCGAGTATTCAATTCTGTTTCTTGGGTACTCCTATTTGTTAGTCAGAATCATGGTTTTAAATAATGTATTGATATATGTATCGTTATCGGTGGATATGGATAGGTGTCAACTGATATTTAAAACCATTAGAATAAAGGTGAGGAAGGTCCTTGTTTTTTGTTTTTGGATTTTGCTCGACTGTAGTAGTCTCATGTAATGTTCAATGCTGGAAATGTCGTGGTGTTTAATGATCATGTGTTGTAAACAGACACTAGGTAGGAGAGATTGATTTTGTTGATTCAATTGGATTGCCAAATGATCATACATGGGTAATATTATTTTTCAAATTTTAGTGTATTTGTTAATATATGTTTGTATGCTATGGAATGGTGCAAAGAGGAAAGCTTTGAAATGGCTGGGTGAGCGTTCTCATTCTGTTGCTTGGGTACTCATATTTGTTTGTCAGAATCATAATTTTAAATAATGGTATTGGAATATGACTATCAGTCATAAGGTCATATCTTGGCCGATATATCGATGAATAGTCCAAAATCCTGATACATATTCTCCGATTCGAGGAAGGTCCTTGTTTTTTGGTTCTTGGATTTTGCTCAACTGTTGTAGTCTCATGTAAACATTCTCCGAGTTGAGGAAGGTCCTTGTTTTTTGGTTTTTGGATTTTGCTCAACTGTTGTAGTCTCATGTAATGGTCAATGCTGGAAATCTGATGTTGTTTAATGATCATGTTTATAAACAGACACCTTACCCAAAAAAATGCTGATAAACAGCGTCTTGGTCATAGTCCTTGAAATTTATTCTGTCGGAGAAGTAATTGTGTCGTTCGAGGTTTTTGGTCCAGGCGGTTTTGCCTGTTCTTGAGGGTCCTTCGAGGTAGAGAGAGATTGGGCGGATGGGCCTCTGCTCTGGTTCCTGTTATCAGAGGAGGAGGAGAGTTCTTCGTCAGTATATAAATTGTTTATATTATTTTTGTGTATCCCTAATCTAAGGAAATCGTCTTCCCTCCAAACGGAAAGACAGCAATTTTGACATAACTCTTACTGAACGCAATTTCGACTTACAAACAAAATATTATTTTCTGTACATTTTTTTACTTCTTCATTTAAGAAATGAAATGAATTAAAAGGGCTAGTATATGGGGGCCTCTCTCTTTTGTAATGATCCCTGGAAAATGTTTTTAATTGGGAGTATTTTGTGACGTAATCGGTGGGACATTTTTCTTTACAGAGAACAAAGAATTGTCATTAGTATATTTTTTAGATAACACAACAATAGAGGGGGCCCTCATTTGCGAATCTTCTGGCATGTCACTCGTAGAATACTTCAGATACCCCTTCATTTTACAATATGTAACCCCCCTTTTAATATTGGAATTTTCAAGTCGATACTTCACCATCCATGGCACCTGTTTGTCGTTAATTGAACAATAATCATTCCCATAATAGACTAACTCGCATTGACAATCTACTGGGAAAATAAACCATGCCTGCAAACTGTCATTACCGTCTAACCTCCGATCATAAACATTTACTCTGACCAACCCACTAGCATTGGGTGCGCAAAGGGGGGAATATTTTATCAATATTTTATCAACCTTAATACTTTTTTGTTTGTATCTTAACCTCAATTGAGAAAATAAATTAGGCAACGCAAGTTCAATACAACTGAAATCACTTGCCGAAACACCTTCAACAACCCCAGTTTTTATATCGTCCACCTCCATTAACCTGAACATTAAAAATAAAAATACATCAAATTACAATTCTAAACAGTTTTAAAGTACATTTGACTCCTTAAAGTAATTTTGCATTCCTTTCCACTAACAGGAGCAGCCACTAAATATATGGCACCCTTTTGAATGCTTCCAACATTTCCCAACATACTCTTTGTCCTTACCACCAACGAGCTTGAATCTCATTTTCTTTAGCATCCGAAACCGGTCGGACTGGTCAGGATCAACAATCCAAGTCTCAGGATTACCCTCGCCAACTCCAATAAATATCTTGTCAGGTATAGGGACGGAATGTGACGGACTATTATCACTGATGACAAAATACTTAGGGTTAGTTTGGCATAATCTAAAAAAATTAAAAAGTCACTGTCCTATTTAAATCACATCATCATATTTAAGTCATATCATTTCTTTGCAATATCACTTCAAACTCAATCTATATTTCATATTTTTTCATAAAAAGTCAAAAAATGCACTTATTTATATCACCCCAAACCAACCCTTAATCATTTTATTTTTTAAAAAACTTTTTTACAATTCTTTTGATAAAAAAAATAAAAAATTAACTAAAATAGTCAATTCTCAAATAAGTTTCATGGAGCTCCCTTGCGACAAGTATGTAGTATGGCTGACAGGCTAGTTGGAGGAGAGACTGGAGGAGTTCTAAGAGTTGTTCTTTTGGGCATGGGCATTGTGGGTAGGTGAGGAAGACATTCTTGGCATAAAAACGGAAAGAGGATTGGCGAGGCATTATTTAGCTTATTTAGTGATTAACACTTAACTTACACTGGTGTGAATGTTGTTTGTGGAGGCTTTATATAGAGGGAGGTCACACCAGCCGGGGGGGGGCGCTATATATAATATTACTAGCGCCCCCCCTGTTGAAATTGTACCCAATAGGCAATTTCATCCGTCGATGGACGTACGGATGGTGACGTGTAAGGTGGAGATTACAGCTATACGATGAAATTGCCTGGGCCAGAAGCCTCGGACGACACAATTACTTCTCCGGCAGAATAAGCTTCAAGGACTACGACCAAGACGCCGTCTACAACGTGATAGACGACATCGAATACTCGACAGTACCTACCGAATTAATGAAGAATTTAGTAGGATGTCAGAGAGATTTCCATGTATTTGTTAAGTTCCAACCAGATCTTACTATTAGAGGAGGAATTCCTTGTATTTTATTAACAAATGAGGACAGTAGTTGGTTAGATGTAATGTCCCCAAAAATGAGAGAATGGTTACATGCGTTTGATCAGATTCATTATTCACTTATTGAGCTTTATAAATGACCCCTCTTTTAATTGCTTATTCTTCTTCTTGGCACCAACAATTGCTTAAATTATATTCATTTTCAAAAGGGACATCCAAGTAGACCCTGAAATTAGACACATATAGGTCTGAAATTAGACATACATAGGTCATGTTTAATTCACAAGATTAATAGTAAAAGTATTAATAATTTCATCAAATTAGTGTGATATTCACTATCCAATTAGGTTAGTAGGATATCTTCTTATCCATTGTTTGATTTGCATTGAATAAGAAAACATATAAATGTAGAATTATAACTATATCTATCTTCTTTTCCAATCTTAACATCCATCAATATTTCTTCACAATTTTTACTTTATCAAAATTTCTCCACAAACGTGATTTTAAAAAATAAAAATAAAAATAAAATACAAAATACAAAAGTCATGTTTGGTTTTTTTTTTTCTTTTTTAAATATAAACTAATTTAATAAAATAAATATCAAAAAATATTTTTAACCTTCTAAAATATAAAATTATATACATATAACAAGTGTTTTAATTTTTAGTCAAAGTATAAGAATCTTTCTATTTTATTTCTCAGCTTAGTATATATAATTTCACCCTTACCTCATTATTAATAATTCTACAAATTTATTGAACTAATTATCTAATAAATTAATAATCTGGAAACAAAATTTCAAAACACACAAAATTATTGAGTCCACAAATTAATAATTTCAATCTCATACTATAATTCTCTCAATCAAACATCCTCATAGAGTCATCGATGCCTGAGAGCAGAGTGTAGTACTGTTTCATTCACCAAATGCTCAAGCTGGCAGGCACTCAAAAATATAAGCAATCAAATGGTGGTTGTTTGGCGTCTCCTTTTTACTGAAGCTCCAAAAAAAAAGTCTATAGCTTGACTGGGGTTAATTTAACATCATGCCAAACATAACCCAGAATTTTGATCACCAAATGTATTGGTTATAGCCTGCTCTTTGGAATCCCAACCGGAGCGTTTCTGGATCTCGTCTCCACAACTCGAGAAAGTTGCTTCACTGCCTCTTTCGGAAGATGACGAGGTCTGCTCAACCAAAGTCCTCCATCAACCACCAATGTTGTTCCATTGATGTATTTCCCTTCAAACATCAACAACAACTCAGATGAGATTTCGTAACTAAGGAAAATAGTGAAAATTAACAAATGGCACTTGTAAAGTACGAGAGAGATTTAAATTACGTTTGATAAAGCTTTCTAAATATGATTTGAGAGTAAGAGTTGTATTTTGAGTTCGTGAGTTTTAAAAATATAATTTGAATATAGAAAATTTGTTTGATGAAAGAGTTTTGAATTGAGTGGAGAATTTTTGGTATGACATATGATATTTGATATAAAAATTTACAACTCATAACCAAACACACAACTCAAAATTCTTTTAAAGCTCATAAAAAAATCAAAAAATATTCTTTCCGAATATATAAAAATTAATGTGTCAATTGCAACAAAAAAAAATTATTGTTCCGGTCAACCGGCCAATCAACCAGCTGGATGACCGATTAGCTCAAATTTTCCCACCTAAGACAGAGTTTTCAAAATTGAATGTAGAATTAACTTTGAAAAATCGTAAACAAACATGAAACTCAAATAAAAAGGTAGAATTAGTTTTGGAAAAATGTTCCAAACAGAGCCTTAGTTTTTAGTTTTTGTTAAAAGATCTTAAAGAGAACATTGCAAAAGGCTACGGATTACTTGGTGCCCTAGGAAATGAAGACGTCTTCAACACACCACTGACCAAAGTACATGGAGATAGGGGTGGGCGCGGGTCAGTTGCGGCCACGAAACCTCCAATCCGCCATCCGTCCGCCAGATTGGCGGATTGAAGAAAATCAATCCGCATTTGTTTGATGAAAGAGTTTTGAATTGAGTGGAGAATTTTTGGTATGACATATGATATTTGATATAAAAATTTACAACTCATAACCAAACACACAACTCAAAATTCTTTTAAAGCTCATAAAAAAATCAAAAAATATTCTTTCCGAATATATAAAAATTAATGTGTCAATTGCAACAAAAAAAAATTATTGTTCCGGTCAACCGGCCAATCAACCAGCTGGATGACCGATTAGCCCAAATTTTCCCACCTAAGACAGAGTTTTCAAAATTGAATGTAGAATTAACTTTGAAAAACCGTAAACAAACATGAAACTCAAATAAAAAGGTAGAATTAGTTTTGGAAAAACGTTCCAAACAGAGCCTTAGTTTTTAGTTTTTGTTAAAAGATCTTAAAGAGAACATTGCAAAAGGCTACGGATTACTTGGTGCCCTAGGAAATGAAGATCCAAAATGCGGCGGATCGGTTCGGTTCGGTCGGTTTTGGCGGATCGGTATATCCGCTGCTCACCCCTACATGGAGATATAAATAGGTTCTACCAATCGTGCATCAAGACTTGTACATTAACCAAATAATCAATACACTTTCAACCTTTCAACTACATACTTGAATGACACTAACTTTCATTCATGAATCACCCCATACATGTATTATGTGTACATTTAGAAACCAAGTTTCACAACTCACCACTAAATGAAAGTAAAATGTCATACAAACTAATAAACTCTACAAAATTTTCTTACTAACTAATGCGTCATAAAATAATAAAACTTCGGAATCTAAAATACGACACCTTTTAATAATATGATAGGTGATGCATCAGTAAGACATAAAAGCCTGTAAAATTTGTTAGTTTATATAGATTACTATAGATAAAAATTACGAACCTGCATCAGAAACAAGATAGAGAGCAGCCATAGCAATATCCCATTTCTCACCCATTTTATACAAAGGAACATTCTGTTCCATTTCTTTCAGCATATCATCAGGAGCAAGTTTACTAACTCCAGCAGTGTCTTCAATAGGTCCTGGTGCTATCCCATTAACCCTAATGTCATAATCTGTTCCCCACTCTAATGCCAAACTCCTTGTAATGCTATCAACAGCTGCCTGGCAAAGAGGGAGGGACAGAATAGTAAATACACAACACAATTCAAGAATGAATTTTGTTAAGGAGTGCCTTAATGTTCCATTGAGTTCATTGGAATGGAAGGACCAATCCAATATAATGTCAATTATCACATTTGATTCATTAAAAAAATGATAAAAAATGATTTACAAATTAAATCATCATTCACCATTATAAAGGAATAGTCATTTTATAGAAAGGCTACAAAATAACCGTTCTACTTCATTCCAGTGAATCAAACACTACATAAGAGTATTAGTTAAAAAAACTTAAAATAGTTGTACATTCTTTATGACACGCGCTTTAATAAATAATATACAGCTAATTAAGCCTGCTAACGGGTAGGGCACTCATTGACAAAATCCTTCAAAAATAATGGGTTAATTACACAGATGTTTCCCAAAATATGTGATTTGTTCTACGTTGGTCTCAAAAGTACGCAATTTGTTACACTTAGTCTCTGGATCAGAGAAAAACCAATGCCCAAATAATGCAAAAATAATGCAACAAAATTAAAAGATCTAACATGCAACAAAGTGTGTACTATGGGGACCAAATTGCAACAAAATGCATACTTTGAGGACCATCTATGTATTTGGTTCTTTTGATTTTGTAGAAGCTTCATATAAAATTTCAAAAATACCCTCTGGACCAAAGTGGAATAATTAAAAAGATTGGATACTAAAGTGTAATAGATTCATACTTTGAAGACCATTATTGTAATTAACCCAAAAATAAATTAGTTACGATGTGACTTTGACAAACCTTTGCAGCAGAAACATGGATTTGATACCAAGTTGCTGTATAATGCAAAGTGGCACTTATGTTTATAATTATTCCACCTCTAGATGAGTCCTGCCCAGGTCCTCCTCTCTTAAGATACTTGAGTGCTTCATGGCACATTGTAAAAGTGCCTACTGAATCAATATCTATTACTGCAAGGACCAACCAAAAAACATTCTATGAGCCTTGTTTGGGATGAAATGCATGTCAAAAGAGCATTGTTTGGGATGAAAAGTAGTTTCATGAGGGGTACAAGAGACTCAACTTCAAACAAGTAATATACAAGAGATGAGTCATTGGCAATTAAAATCAACAAAAAGAAACCTATTAACTACTAGAACATACAAAGGTGAAAGGTCCTATGCATTGATACTCAATGCTCAACTTCCAAGTCAATATGAGATCTGGTCATTGAGAACAAGGTATTGAAAGCTTCACAAGTAATATGCAAAGGTATCAAACTAGGGCTTTCAGAGGCAAGCCGAAGGTGATTACTAAGAATTTACATGTATCAACTAATCAAAAACTCATCAAAATTTTAGATAGAAAACAGAATCAATATATATATATTTTTTTGGAAGAATGTTAATGGACTACAATTTGGACCCATGCCTGTAAGATCATACCTGTTCGAAAACCATTAGGGGACAAATCCTCAGCTGGGACAAGGAAATTGCCAGCTGCAGCGTTCACGAGGATGTCAAGCTTGCCAAAATGCTTAATAGTTGATTCCAGAACTCTAACTGCATCATCTTGATTGCGAACATCTCCCTCAAGCCCAATAGCCTGCAATAGCAGCAAGTGTGCAATTTCAAGCCAGAAAACCAGATATTGATTAGATCATCCAATCATCCAACTAATTGCAAGCATGATAAATAACAATTCAACAAAATCGATGCAAAACTCGCATGTTCAAATATCAGAGGCCATAGAGAAAAAAAGAAGGAAATATATAATATAACAAATGTGTAGAAACTATTAGACTATCAATGAGTAAGCACAATGGGTGAAATTCATGCACAACAAATTATACAAGTTAGATTAGTTGTAAGCATTTTATTACATTTTCTAAGTGAACATACTTACTTTTTTTACTTTTTGGATTCAATAATAAGTGTAGCATCATTTACAATCATAAGTGTTGGAAAGTTCAGCCCAATAGCCTGCAATAGCAGCAAGTGTGCAATTTCAAGCCAGAAAACCAGATATTGATTAGATCATCCAATCATCCAACTAATTGCAAGCATGATAAATAACAATTCAACAAAATCGATGCAAAACTCGCATGTTCAAATATCAGAGGCCATAGAGAAAAAAAGAGGGAAATATATAACAAATGTGTAGAAACTATTAGACTATCAATGAGTAAGCACAATGGGTGAAATTCATGCACAACAAATTATACAAGTTAGATTAGTTGTAAGCATTTTATTACATTTTCTAAGTGAACATACTTACTTTTTTTACTTTTTGGATTCAATAATAAGTGTAGCATCATTTACAATCATAAGTGTTGGAAAGTTCTTCCTTGAAAAGTAAATGGATATGAACTTTGCACTCAACTTGCATCATTTATTCAGGGATCAATTGGCCGCCACATGTTTTTGTTTTGCGTATTCAAATTTTTTGAAAACAAAAATATGAAATCACCAAACAAAAGACAAACCAAATGGGTCCTGATTATTTAACTTCACAGGTTCCTCTGAGTCTCTTTCTTCATCAACTTGAACACCCAACAAATTCTACTAAATACGTGACACATTACATGCTTTTGAATTGCTCTTTTTCAATTTCGTTCATTGATTTTTCACTTTAATTTCCTACATGAGCAGATTAAAATTTACTTCACACTTGCATAGGTTTGAAGTTGCAACAGTAAGCATAGTTGACTTTCTTTTTCTTATAATTTGTTATCACATAGTTATTCCACTGATCAATTAAATAATTTATTTCAATTCTCTGAATTCTAATGTATAGAATCAAACTAAATTACAATCAACGTTACTGAAACTTCATTAATTCGTGAGAATTGATAAGAAATGTAAGAAATTGAACAACATAAACAATTAAATAAATAAATAAATAAATATCCTCTTTTTCTCTTACTTTTTCTTTTGGTCCATTTTCTGAGGAAACAAACGGAAACCCAGATGGGAAATAGGGATTACCTAGATGCCCAGAGATCGGAGAGCAGAGACAGCAGAGTCTAGGACGTTTTTGCGTCGACCCATGATGGCGATCGATGCTCCATGCTTGCCCAACTGTGTGGATATCTCGTATCCGATACCCGACCCACCACCAGTCAACAGAGCCACCTTTCCTTTCAGTATATCAGCCTTGAATGGTGACTCCATTGAAACTCCAAACTCTCTCTCTCTCTCTCTCTCTCTCTCTCTCTCTCTCTCTATATATATATATATATAGAAGACAACTTTGAACGACTGCCTTTTTTTTCGTAAAATTTTTAATTGTTGATGGGCTCTTCTTGGCATCGAATGAGCCGGCCTTTAATATTTTAGTACCAGTGTAATACATGTACTAATTGATTTATTAATTAATATATTAATATATATTATGATATTATTATTTTAAAATTTTAAATCCCATCTATCATACAAAGAGCATTATTATTTATGATTAGACTCATTTTTTAAATTTAGTGATATGTTAAGAAGATAATTATAATTAAATATTTTTTAATTATCAATCAATCATATTTTTGACATATCACTGGATTTATAGAGTGGATTTAAAAAGTAAACTTATTTATCATTTTTCTTATACAAATTATAATACTTAAAATCTTTAAAATTATGACAAATCATCTGTTAATAGATTAATTGATATACTAATTGATAAATATAATTTTATTAATAATGTCACAATTATGATGCCAATTAAGGCAGGGTGGTAGCACATTTGCGGTATCTTTTTCAATTCAGTAATGATAGGAATATATAAACCAAATACAAAATGAGACATAGCTCTCTTATAAAGAGTGTGTCTCACATGTGCATATGTAAACATCACCTCCATGTGATATGTGGACCCCATCTCTTGTAAGTAGATTGTGTCTCATTCTGTATTTGATTTTTATACACCTAGACTTACTTTTTCTTATTTTGACTCATATTAGAGATGGGATATTCAGAAAATAGCAAAAGCATATGATTTTAAGAATTACAGTATTAATACAAAAAATTGGATATGATATGCTATAAATAATATTTTAATATTTTAATTTTATTATGTTTAAGAAATAAAATTTTATATATTATAAATTATTTAACAAATATATTGGGGCTTAGCTGGGCAGATTAAAACCCACTCTTACCTCACTCATCCGGACCCAAAAAAAAAGTGTGGAGCATGGGAATACAAAGAATGAAACTGTCATCCCTAATTACACTTATCTTTTTATATAATATTTGATACACTATTACATGTAGCATGATTGCAACCATTAACGACATGGATCTCACATGAGCTAATGAAATATATCTTTTTATTGTATGTATTTTTATGCAAAATATATAAATATTTTAAGATGACGTAATATCTTATATTTTAAATTTTATATCTCCTGTCTTAAAGCACTTACAATTATTAAATTGTACTTTGATATATTCATATTATCTTAAGACTAAGGTCATGTTTGTTTGGGCGGACTGAATTAGTATTCCCATGACTAATAGTCCTATGACTACCAATCCGTTGGATTATGTATCCTATCTTAACTAATAGTCAAGTTTAAAATAATTAGTCCGTACTTCAATTGTTTAACCAAATATCGGATTAATAATTTTATTGGACTATTAGTCCAATCCCAAGCTCATGTCCACCCAAACAAACAAATGTTTTGAGATAAGAGAATAGGAAATTTGAGAACAACAAATCTTAGACCCTTAAGATTTTTGTGTATCCAAATTCTCATTTATCTAATAATAGTATATTGAGACAATTTGGAATGGAGAATCATAAGCTTAATAGGGCTCAAAGTGTTGGGTTGAACTGACCAGCCCAAAATAGTGGACAACGCAGGCCTTGAAACACAAATGGATTTTATACTTTTCTCTTTTGTTTTTCTTGTTTCTCTTTGTTTATTTATTCTTTTTTAAATCAAGAAAATAAGAGTTTAGAATCCAGCTTCCCCATAGCAAACCTTTCTTTTAAAAAAATAAATAAATAAATAAAAGCTTCCCTATAGCAAGCCCAAAACTGAAGCCCATTAAATAGGCTTTGGGTTGGGCCAGATTCAACCTACTAGTTGGGGCATCATGTACAGCATTTTGTGACCACTTCTAGATGGGCCTGATAATATAAACAAAACCAATGTCACACACATAATATCCATTATAAAAATAGATATAATGGAGCATCACTGTCTACATTCATATGCCTTGCATTAGTCAATACTTATTATTGTGTATGATATATAAAAATAAAGCAATGGTTGTTAGATCTAATGACTGTGGGAGGTAAAGATAGAGCAATGATTGTGGGAGGTATTGATTATTAGATAAGTTTATAAATAAGAGAGTTGTCAAATCTTAATAGTCACATAATAGAACTTATAAAAAAAAAAATTAACTTTTTATTTGAATAACTAAGGTTAACAAATAGAAAAGTCTTGAGATCTATCAAGGAAGAAAATACTTGTTTTACTTGGTCATTTATCAAGTTAAATTCTCTTTCCATACATTCAACATTATAAGAAATCGTCACTTTGTTATTTTGTTTTTATAATTCATCACTGATTTAATAATTAGAATGTCGTCTGATTAAACATCTGAGTTGGACAATAGTTATACGTTTGTGTTTCAAGAAACGAAACCAATCTCTATGATTGGCCTAGTAGGTGAAACTTGGGGTCTGGAAATGTACTATCTCCAGATCTTAAGTTAAACTCTCATTAAGGCCTCGTTTGGCAAGAGGCTATTTTAGCCAATTAGCCAAAAAGTTACTAAATTAGCCAAAAAGCCAACAACCCATACCAAAAAGTCAAAGATTCTCTTTTCTCTCTACTTTTTGCACATCTTTTCGTAATTAGCCAAAAAGTCATCCCAAACATTTACTTTGGTCATTTATCAAGTTAAATTCTCTTTCTATACATTCAACATTATAAGAAATCGTCACTTTGTTATTTTGTTTTTATAATTCATCACTGATTTAATAATTAGAATGTCGTCTGATTAAACATCTGAGTTGGACAATAGTTATACTTTTGTGTTTCAAGAAACGAAACCAATCTCTATGATTGGCCTAGTAGGTGAAGCTTGGGGTCTGAAAATGTACTATCTCCAGATCTTAAGTTAAACTCTCACTAAATGTTATCAACTTTTTGGAGTCACACTTGCAAGCTCTAGTTTCGAGATTAATTGAGGTGTGCCTAACCTAATCTAAACACTAGATCATAAATAAATAAATAAAAAAGAAACTAAACCAACTACCAAATTTAGTACCTCTCAAATATCATCCATCGACCAATAAGAATTAAAATTTTGTTCACACATAATATTCATTCTCTTTATAATAGGTTAAGAACAAAAAAAACCAAAGTTATGGAGTTTAAAATAGAGCTTGAATATCATTATTATAAAAATATGCCACTACTTGAATGGCAATGTCATTATATCACCAAAGAACAAAGTTTGGTTTTGATTTGAACTCACATAAAAGGAGGGTGTTCATTCTCCTCCCCTATTGGTCAATGATAACAAATCCAATTTTTTTACTCCAAACTTGAATAAACTCAACCCAACCTGATATCACCCAAATACCTAACAAACAAATATAAAAAATTAAAAACAATAAAAATTAAGGGGCCTAATTACATGCTGACACCTCATTTGAGTCTTGACTTCAAATGTGAGTGGCAAATGTGTGTTAGAAAGAGAATCCAAACAAGAATATTCCAACTAAACAATCAAATAAACAAAAGAGGGACCTAATTACTTGCTGACAGCTTGTTTGAGTTCTGATTTGTTTGTTGGCTGTGAATGTGAGTTGGAAAACACCAAGGCCATGTTTAATTGGGAGATTGGAGGAAAATGAGATCTTTAATACCATGAGTTAACATGGCCCTGCAATTTTTTTTTCTATCTCCTAATATTATATTTAATTAAAACAATTATTTATTAGTTTCATAGCACTATGTTCCGTAATAAATTATTTATGTGGCGAATTATTTTTATTAAGGTTTCGTTTGGAATGTGGATTAATTTTTTGATTTTTTAACTTTTTAGTTATTTTTGTTTAAGATTAAACAGTCTCGTTTGAGATGGGCTTTTTAACTTTTTTAATTTTTGTGAGAAAAAAAATAAAATAATTATGATTTGGATATAACATTTTGTCTTATCGATTATTTAGTATATTTTATCTTTTTGTGACTATTTTAGCCAAAAAGTCAATCCAACCAATATGCTAAACGAGTGCCAAGTAATTGAGAAATAAATGATAATCTATGTGTATTGAGATTTCTTATTTATGAAGAATATCACGTAAATAATTTCACATAATTTTCCAATAATATCTAATAATTTTCTGAATTGGAAATATCATAATATTGCTAATCTCCTAAAACAATGAAATCAGCAATACCACCCTTTCATGGTCTTAAGATTAGCCACCTCACTCCATTTGCTAGTAAAAAATAATCCTACTCTAATCCATGTTATATTATATCTTCTTTTTTTTTTTATCATTTGGTAAGAAATTAATTACATATATAGAAAAAATTATGTTTAATTAATTATAATTCAACAATTATAGAAGCCCAACAACTAACTTAATAAAAAGCTCTTAAAATATAAATAAAATAAATAACACAGGAAAGAGCCGCGTAATAAAAGAGAAATTATCAATCATTATTTGTGGTAAGAATTAACCCACTAACTTCTCAAATAAAAATGTACAAAATGACGAAAAATTTATTCACACAATATATAAAATTCCATATCCTCTATTATATTGTATGTATTACTAATATGAAATAGTGCTAAAGAAAATCTAATTGCCCCATCAAACATGATGTGGTCCAAATGTGTGTGGGTATACTATTACATATTTAATGTCCAATTTATTTTTTTTAAATGATATATATAAAAAAATTATAAAATAAAAAAATTAAATTATTAAAATCCGACGTATAATAAATTTTATAAACCCAAACAATTCTTTCCCATTTTGAATAAAAAAGGAGGTCCAATCCCTTTAAGTAGATGTGTTTCGTCAACTTATATCATACATAAGTCTGAGGAGAGTTCAAGGAAGAATGAGAAATGGAATAAAATCTATTTAATGGTTATAAATACTTCACAAAAATTAAGGGGGTAGTACGATATTTTAGACCACAAAACTTTGTAATTTATTAATTCTATCACACAGAAATTCTGCCTGCGTT